AACACAAAGGAATGAGAATTCAACACGAGAAATACGTAGAACATTATAAATATGGTCTAGAAGATTAATAAGTAATTTATTTAATCCTTCGCCCCGTATATTGTTAATAAAAAAAGTCAAAACAGTGATTTACAATGTAAGAAAAAATTAATTCCACGTGAGTTTGAAAGTACTTATATGTAGATGAGAGGATAATATTAAAATCGACATTGAATAAATAACCTTAAGGGTTTGGACTAGATTTATTTGGTGTGGGTACCAGTAGCGGGCTCTGAACCTTCGAGTTCAAGGAAGTATATTTAATTTCTTGATCAAGCTACTAGTAATTAATATTTAGTTACTTTGGGAGTTAGTTACGAAAACCTCTACCATGCTACATGCTATCATTTCATATAGCCTAAATTTCTTTGCATAATATACGCCTACTATATGATGCATGAAAAATCTGGTAGAATAACTTAAAAATTCAATTACAGGAAAAATTAAGTTTGACATTATTACGTAAAAAAATTATTAAAAATTCTGGTTCCTGTTATAAGGCAGACGTCATTTTGGTTACTTATTTTTAAAATTGCCACTTTTACCTTACTAACATGGTTATTCCCTGAATTATGTTAATTAGTAATTTACATGTACCTTACTGATACAAATTTTAAGCCATATCACAAGAAACTATTGTAATTATAAGTCATTCGCTTTCTTCTTAAATTTTCTATTAAAAGCCCCATATCGTTATTGGACCCAGTTAAATTCACTTGAGTCCCTATTTTAAACTCCATTTTACAAATTCACTTACATGAATGATGTCTCGCCCTACTTGTTCTGTTGATATGCGTACTGTGGCTCTCTTATGTACGTAGAATGCCTATGAATTACTGCTACCAACTTATGCAAGATTAAAATATGCTAAATCTTATAAAACTGTTGTGGTTTGTGTATTGTTTATTTGCATGAGATACTATAAATATAAATTTGTTGAACAAATTATAATTGACCTATTAATGTAGGCTGCCTACTTTCTGCAATGTCTGGAGTACTGAGAAATGTATTTTACATCCTTAACTAGTCCTTTTATGACCATTCGTAAACAAAATAAATCATATCAAAAATGTCACAAAGTTGTTATTCTTTTGCCAAGACCCTGGGTCAATTGACATACGTTCTCATAAACTACTATTATGTTTACCATCAAGGTTATCAACATACTAAGCTTAGAGAAGTCAAAACATACCAACATAACACAGTAAAAACATTGCCTTCCTATTAACAACAAGGTAAAATAAAACATTCAAATATCAAGTTCAAAATGTTGTACAAGTTAACTTCTTTATAATAAAGCTTTGGAGCAATGAATCGAGAATTAGGAAGTAATATATCGACTTACAAGAGGAATATTCACTCTGTTATAACGTCTACGTACATCGTTCACACACAAAACTGGTATGCCATTTAACCTAAAGTTAACACAAGAAACACCTATCAATGCAACAATAAATGACTGTCGAAGTATACTAATCCAATCTGTTTCAATAACACGTTTGCACACAAAACTTGCAAACCTCGCTGTCACAACACGCCAACTTTCACTGGAATTGAGTACCAACATGACCAACCTAACAGCGCGAAACTTAAAATCATTTGAAGAAAAAATTATTCAATAACACACGTGTATCATTTTACCCAATGCAAATTAGTGTCACCTATATATATATATATATATACTGGGAACGACCCGTTCTTCAAGTGCATTGAGCATCTGCGGGTCCCATCAGATATTCCATATCCGTTTTAATATTATCCTTTCAACTAAATCTAGATATTTCCCTTTGGGCTTTCCGGCCAAAACTATGTATATTTCTCATCTTACCAATGCGATCTACATGCCACGCTCCTCTCATTCCCCGCATAAGATCTTCCTAATATTTCGTGTAAAGTACAGATTACGAATATTGAGTAAAATTAAATCACGGTCGGAGATCTTTAAAGGACGAGAAGATAAAATGGCCATCTCTGCAAGGGGATACTGGGAACGACCCGTTCTTCAAGTGCCTGAGCACTGCGGGTCCCAACTTTTCGTTGGTTCAATCTGTAGACATTCGGTAGGAATCCTTGGACGAGGGATCGGCCCTTCGCAAGGCCTCGACCTGTACACAGGACAGCATAACACAGAAAAACGCGGACAAACATCCATGGCTTGAGTGGGAATCGAACCCACGGTCCCAGCGGCACAAGGCCCACGCCTCAGACCGCGAGGCCACCTGTACAAGTTGGTTTCTGTGTACATAAATACACAGAATTGTACAAAACATGAAATTAAAATAAATTAGCCAATTAATAATTAGTGGATATCAGTAATGTGTTAGGTATGTTTCTAATAATAACAAAAATGTTGTATTCATTATAACGCGAAACAACAGAATTTTCAATCAGTTAGGACATAATAATGCATTTCTTTAAGATTTAAATTTAGTCTGTTAGTCAATTTTATTAATATTTCTTAAAATATATTACGTATCGTGCAAAGAAAGGCAATAGTTGAAAAGCGAGGGTCTGTAAGATGGAGGCGTGCTTATAAAACACTTAAAGGGCTTACAAGCCGAAGTCTATGGTTTGATGCCGGTCGCAGCAAACATGTATAGTGCAACTGAAAACATTCGCTCTTAATTTCGTCACAATCAGTGGAATTTTGGTACACTAACTTCAAGACTAAAATTTATTTTATAAACCATACGAACAAACAACAATAGCGATGTAGTCACACGCCCTACTTCTATAGCCCAAACGTAATTACTTCACATCCGATAGTATAAAAGGTAAAACTGGTTTATTTCCCAGTATGTGGTATCGCTTCACCTCTCCCACATGTTATTTGTAATTGTCAACCGAGCTCCAAGTTTTCTTGCGTCCACTGCAATCTTCAAACTGCTTCTACCCTTGTAATTTTCTGCAAAACCTAGGCTGCTTTACGGTTGAACTAAACTAATATGGAACCTGATGAATACCCTAAACATGTCCTTCCCATCTTTGCATCTCAGTTTTAAAACGCTTTGAACGATATAACTCGTCCGGAAACAGCTTTACTTGAATTTGCAAGTAAAATGCACCCTCCAAGAAGCACACGGCCGCAATATTTCGATACTAAATGCGGAAGGGTTGACGTTACACAGATGAATGGATAAGAGGGCAGACACAAATTCACGGAAATGCTACAGGGCAATTAGCTTGCATATATTATTTATTTACTTCAATGTGATTAATTAGTGGATGTGTGTTTTTTATTGTGTGTCAGATGTTTTCTTTTGAGTGTGGTATGTTGTATTGTTGTGTCTCATTGTATTGTTGTGTGAGTGCATCAGTTCATGACGTTTGTAATACATTACAGTTATTGTCTTATGTCTAGGTGGTTTTAATTTCTTTTTTTTAAGTTAAGTACTTGAGGTTGGATGGTTTTGTAATTTATGAGTTGGTTGATGTTGAGTGGGATGTGTTGTTTTTGTTGTGTCCTTTTTTATTGTTTTGTTCTGTCTCTGTGTTGATGTATCTCATTGTATGTTGTGTCTTATGGTTTTTGTTGTGTCCTTTGTTTATTATTTTGTTGTGTCTCATTGTGTTGATGTATCCCATTGTTTGTGTCATATTGTTTTTGTTGTGTCCTTTTGTTTATTGTTTTGTTCTGTCTCTGTGTTGATAATAATAATAATAATAATAATAACGCAGGATAATATAGAATTACGGGTTTATCATTGACTAACGAATACGAAAGGCCTAAGTTAACCATTTATACCACGGGCTAACTATGTACCATCTGATTTAAAATATAATAATTTCTCATTTCGTTTATAAATTTGGTTTGTACCTCAAAGAGAACAGCATTTCTCCAATACAAATAGGAAATAATCGATGTTTAATCTAAGAATCACGCAAAAAAAGACATATTCCGTAGACAAAATGAACAGTTACTGAATGTTAAAGTAGATGGTACTTTTGGTGGACCTGTGGATGGTCTTAAAGGGAAAACTGAGGAAGACCTGTTCTGCGTTTCAAGCTATTGTTTCAATTTCAGAACACGTCGTGCTATTTGTTGCCAACTACTTTTTCTGTGGACTTCGTTGTCAAAGTGTCAGAAATACGAACATAGCTTTCATTAGTAGGGATTCAGCGGGAACATTCCATTTGATGATAACAGCAATACGTGTTGTCATAAGAGAACAAAATGTCTCATATGAACTGTGTACAGTACTACTCACCTACGAAAGAAGTCCTATGTTACTATGAAATTGTCGCTCCATTATCGAATCACAAAAGCACACAACGGACTCATGTTAAGAGTAATTTTAACGTAGTTATGATTTTCCAACTAAATTCTCCAGCATATTTTAATACCACACTCCGATGTGATATAATAAAATGTCTCCCAAGAGATTTTTATCAGATTTCAAAGGAAAATTTATCCAACTGTTGTATTTTAACCATAACATAAATTTACCACAGATACATTTAAGGTTTTCACAAAACGAAAACATCTTTGCATAAAACTTTGCCTGACCAGACAAAGCCATGTTTCCAGAGATATATCTAGTAATTAAGATGCACTGTTTGTAGGTTATGATAGAGATAACCTTCCATTTTCATGTTCAGTGAACATTAAAATTATGTTTTAAACACAAACATGGCGGCTGCGATAAGTATGGAGCCGATTCTCAGGTACCTTGCCGCATACCTTCGACGTCAGTGACGTAGCCGAGTCAATATTTACATTACGATGGACAAGGAGCGTGGGGCTTTCATTGGTTTGAAACACAACCAAGGGAGGGTTATCTTAACGAGCAGTGGAATGCCGTGTAGATGCGCCCACCGGGTGTCACAAAGTGAAGACAACAATTCAACAATTATTTTACTTTGTATTATTGGAACATGGTTAAATAAATTAATATTTAAAGTTCTCATGACGGGGAGTACAAAGTTGGCTGTCTTCTGGGTTTTAGCGACGTGTAGTACGACCCTGATGATGGAGGCAGCAAGTACATCTGGAAAGCAGGTAAATTTCTACCAGAGCGCCATTCAAATTGATATTCTTGTTTTATTACTGAGAAGAAAGTACGTAAATCTGTCGTGTACTCAAAGACAGTAAAAGTTAATTGTATGTAATTCGATCAAGTCCAATTTATTTTCAAAATTTCGGATTCAAAATGGCCATATCGATTATTATTACTTTTCGAATTAGGTCTAAGGTAATCGGTACTTCAAAAGTCTGAAGATAATAAAATATATAATTACGATTTGCCACTTCGGTTCCGTGTACATAAAACTTTGTCACAGGGAACTGATTAAAATAATACTTTTCTGCACGCCCGGTTGTACGGGGTCCCTGCAGAGGAATGACCATCAGCGTGGGAACATGGGACGCTGTGTGTGTTCTTCAGATATCTCGGCAATACAAGCACATCCTGACTGGAGGTGACCACTCAAACGCACAAAGCGACTAAGTTTCGTAAAATCCTGGAAACAAGCCAAACAACAGCTTGCGTCATGTTTTCTGGAATTTAAAATCTGTAATTAAAATTTGAAATTGAGTGAATAAAGATAATATTAATAATGTTTTGTTGTGTTTGACTGTTTAACATTTATAGCCAGAATTCAGGACAAATCAAAACATGACTGCTAAATCGATTCTTTGAAAATGTGACAAAATTCAAATATCTGGCATTAACAAATTAAAATGACATTCACGAAGAAATTTCGGCCATATTAAATTCGAGAAATGCGTTTCCTTATTTAGTTCAGAATACTTTTATCTTTACGCCTAGCATCTAAGAAGACTGTGACTGAACTACCTATACCCCTAACATTTTATAAAACCTAAAGGTAAAGAGAGATTAGAAACACATTAAAGATTTTAGTCAGAAAACCTTATGGAAGGCAGGGGAAACTCAGTCGTAGATGGGATAACAAAATTAAGACGAATCTAGTAGAAAGAGGGGTGAAGTTGTGGACTACATTCATATGGTTCAGGGTACGAACCAACGGCGGATTCATGTTAAAACGGCAATGAAATTTCGAGTTCCATAACAGGAGGGGAATTTCTTGACTAACTGAGCGACTATTAGCTTTATGACAAAGATTCTATCCGATGAAGTTACACTTTTCCCTACGTAGCCCACATAAGCATACCAATTGGTTTACATTATTAATCGTAGTATTCTGGGAAATACTTTCTGTTGTGTTTTAAGATTCCATTCGGCTTCAGAATCCAGAACACCAAAACTGACGTCCTCACAGTCGCGAGGTCTTCAAATCTCAAAACATTTACAAACTTTTGGGTTCCTGAAGACGGCAGGTTGCATTTTGCCCATCCGGATGATTATTTAAGGTTCAACTCTAAACTATTGAGCTGTCAACATTTACAATTAACTTTCTCAGACGTGGTCGTTGTAAACACTATGCAGCGTGAATACGTACGAGTCCAATTAACAGAGTTAAGGAATTAAATGTGCGTGTGGGTTACTTCATTTCCAGTTTAACTACGTGACTCAGCTACTGCCCCTAGAATTTCAACTCCCACTACCACTTCCATCACTTCCCCTCTCGCGCTACTCAGCGGCCACGTCTAAAAGCTTAACTGTATTTCTCTACTCGCCTGTAAAATAATCTCGGCGCTGTAATTTATACCATTAATGTTCCACATATTAAATTCACACCAAAAGAGTATATAATTTAAGTAATTTAATCCCAGATTGTTTAGTTATACTAAATGTAAAACAAAATTATAAAATAACTTCTCGTAACTTGTCACATTTTAATGTACAGTCTGTGCAAAAGCAAATCATTATTTTCAAAGGTAACTGTGTTTGTACGATGGAGGTACACGAGGGTGTTCATAACGTACTTGGTCGAGATGAATCAGGCCCAAAGTTGTAGTTAGTTCATCACAACTGACGTTAGAAATTTCAGAGCCCTGTGAACAGACACCAAAAATGCCAGGGACTCGGAACTGGGCCCTAATGGCGTCTCTCTCATGCGAGACACGCCGACCGTCTGTTTTTCATAAACTTATAGCTCGGTCTCTAATTAATTTGTCTTTGCTGCTGACACCGCGCTGATAAAAAGCCGTGTTCTGGAGAAGACTTCGCTGTCGTACCTTCTGCTCAGGCATGCAACACGTCGACGAGGGTGGAAAAAACGTTTTTGTGGGTGTGTAAATAATGATGAACCCCGATATTCTGACAGCACTTTTATGGCTAAACTGAAACTCTTTAGCATGCAGACAGGAGTTCTGCATCAACGGGGCTCATTACTTTTAATGTAATGAAGTTAAGATGCAAATCTGAGTTGTTATGAGACTTTTAGCAGAATATCTACAATTTTAAGATTAAATTCGCTCAAGGATATAGTTCAGTGGCCGATGTCTGTGATGACGATAATGATAAATCTTCTGCAATTTTTATTTTATAAAAATAAATGTCACTTACCCAAGAAAACTGGCCAACTTCCAGTTCCTTTTTTATTAAAAATGTTATAAATTTTGTACTGCAAGTGTCATTATGATTTCTGGACAAATAATCAAGTTATGCGGACGAATCTGATCTTACACACGTTTACATTTTTTTTAAGATTCAGTGCTTAATGTTTTTCCAAGGGTCCTGATTTTAAATCGAGGATGATAATTTAACTTATCACGCATTTAATTTTCAAAAAACAACAAAAAATCTTGCAACGCATCAGTAGTTTATTGCGATCCCAACTTCAACACAAATGAAAAGACGCTTTAAAATGGATCAACTATTTAGTGTTCCCAACCTCTTCTATTTTACCATGACAAGAATAGACACGGTATCAGTACCTGCTATTGGACGCTGATGATAGACTTGTAACTCGTTATAGTCGGCGCAGTAGTTTCTGGCCGGTGGAGAAGCTAGCGGAGCTGGCGGACGAGCCTAGTCCGTGTACCTGAGGTGGCACGGTCAGTGTATTTCATTTGTTTGGGCGTTCAGTCCGATAAGCTCCTCGGTGCAGTCAGCGTTATACTATCAGGTGGACCAGAGGGCTGCTATTGGTGGGAAGTGTAATACGTCAGAATTTTACGCTACTACACAGACTGAAAACATCAAGCAGTTAAGAGTAGCGTGTAGTGAGTGCAACTCTAATGTGTTCTGCGGGTGTTGCGATAATATTCTAGATTAAATCGCTGTGCCTCCGTCAGGTAATCTTAAAGCTGTACCCATTAGAACACATGAAAGCCTGTCGTCTGTTGTTCGTTCAGTGGTCGAGGAACGAATGCTTGTAGGATGGGTCGTCACTCACCGCGTAATCTTTCGCATGCGCGTATATCGAATTCCTAGCAGGGATTTTCTCCTGGTCTGTGGACTGTAGCTTCTAGCCTTCCCCTAGAAAATTCCACCGGCCAAAAATTACTGCGCCATAGCTTCCAAGTGATATCGTGCGACGAACTGTGGAGAGACGTTGTTGTATTCAAGCGTAAGTGTAGTTAGTGTCCGGTTTGCGCTTCACTTTTGTAGTGTTTCCGGTCTTCGTTCTCGGAAAGGCGACTGGTTATCATAAATAAAGATCTTCGTGTTCTTGCCACCTAAGCCCTTAGACAACATTCTTCATCATGTTGTCATTTGTCATTTGATGCCATACAAGTCGCTAAATGCATACGCAGAGAACATTTGTCAGTGTCGAGATCAAAGGATCCTGGAGAGTAGTAATGATATGTTGAATCATATTCAGAAGACTGGCCTATAGACATTACGGACCATTTTACGTCCAGTTTATTATAAAAATTCTTTTGTACTTATTATCAACCACTCAAGAACCAGATCCGGTCTCGACGCAGAGGATAGAAGAAATAAAAATTCTCTGCCCTTGTCGGGGATCGAAACTTGGTCATCTACTCTGTAATCAGACCAGACCAGCTTCACAATTGTGATAACAGAAAGTTGAGATTATGTAGACACAACTAAGGCTTCGTATTAAACTGGTAATTGGTTCATTTATCGTCCTAAACGGTATTTCGTGTTCTTCCTCAGTCTGTTCATCGTCGCTTCTAAGAGACAATCAGCCATCTTACCACATCTCACTCTGCGCTGTGGGATCACAGAAATTGATAAAGCATTGTAAAATAACCGAACAGAAAACCAATAGCCAACAGAACGTCAGCTTGTCTTTCAGTACATGCAGTTTCATCTCTATAAACCCTGCAGCGAAATAGTGTAAGTCTGGTTGAAGGAGATGCGACTGTGCGTTGTTTCTCGTTAGATTTAACAACGCTGCATTGGAGTTATACTTTGTATTGCCACTTCTGAAGCAGGAGACGTCTCGGTTCAAATACCTCTTAGGTCAGGGCACCAATGTACACACGGAAGTGTTTTCGAGAGCCCTAGAAACGTCTACGTAAACATCTGATGCAGAGGAACTTCGGTTTTTGCTTACTCCATATGATGTATCACGTTTTTGACAAGGTGAAAAATACTTACGTATTACTTAAAAGGCCCTTAATCACAGACGGTAGTGATTTCAAACGCGCTTGGTTTATTTTTTATTTTAAATTTTTGTACATACGAAGTGCGATCGGAAAGTTTCAAGACTGTGTCAATAGAGGGCGAACCGGATGTAGTACGAGCTTCTGCCGCTAGGGGGTGCGGCCTACATTCATAGTGAATCAGTGTGCCAGCCGGCATCATCGAATTAGCATTTGTTTCTTAGTTACGGGCGTTTTGGTAGTGCATTACACCGACCCTCCTGCGATTGCGGA